CGCCGTTTAGATCGGCCACGACTGGTGGCGGGAGACGCTCGGCCTCGTACTTGATCGGATACTCATCAGAGAGATGGAACCACGCCTCTTTGAATGAAAAATCGCCCTCGTGCTAAATTTCACCAATTAGCGTTAATCACCCACATGTAGAAAAATCAAAATCGCCCAATAATAACAGTAACATTAAAAAACAGACAAGCAAAAGTTAAAATGGTACGCCTCTTTGAATCAAAATTCGCTCTCGTGCTGTATTTCATCAATTAGCATTACTTAATCACATGCGTTGTCAGAAACAAATACACAAACAAATCGTATGTACCTGAAGAGAGAAGAAAATGGCGAAAGCGGAGAGCATCAAAATCGCTAAGTCTCGCTTCCTCATCTTTGAAAATAATTAACAAATTCACCAGTGGTTCATGAATCAATTGAAAATCGAATCAAATTGTTTCCAGCTCCCAAATGCAGGCGCGAAGTGTGAGAACTGTAACGCTTAGTTAGGGTTCAAGGCGTCGGGTTCTAAGGATAAGCGCTTGTTGGTGATTTTGGTAATTGATATTTTGATAGTTAGCCATAAAATAGGTCCTACAGTATTTGAAATAATAATTCAAAAAATGACAGTTAAAATAACGAAATAACAATCAAAAAATTGATGTTAATTAAATTTAAATTTATACTAAACTTGCTTGGAATATACTCATATTTTAAATCAAATTAACAATTAATTTTAATCACACATCATCAAACTTACAATTTTTAAACCACATATATGATTATCTTTATTAAAATTAGGAGTGGACATTTTCCCTTGAAACCGGTGGAATCGGATAGGAATTGTTTAGAAGTTAGAATTGGCCGATTCGATTCTAAATCTTCTAAACAACAATTTGATTTCGGAACAAATTATTAAGAAACAATCGGTTCCGGTCCGAATCCCGATTCTAGTATGGGAACCGTAGGGAACCGAATGGTTTCCATAGGATTTTTTACTTTTTTCTTTTTTGGGTAAAATATATGACTCAATCTCCAATCACTTTTATAAAAAATAATCGTATTCTTTTATTTTAGACTCCGGCACTTTCCTTCTCTTTGATTCTTTCATTCTCTCTTACTATAATTATTTGATTAATTGATTCTCAAGCCAAATTAAAATATATACCTAAATAAATTTTTTTACAATATATAATTTCATTTCTAAGACGCGAAATTTATTTTTTTTCACTTTGATTACATAATTGTTGAATCGATCGAAACTTTTTATCTAGATTTCTATAAATTATAACAGACAGAACTAGAAGTTGCAATAAATTTTTAAAAGGTGTCCAATTCAATGTAGGATTTTGATTTTGATGGAAGTTTGTTTAGTGGCTGTTTGATTCCCATTTTTTCTAAAATACATTTTTCTCTCTCTTCTTTTCAACCACATATTATTCATTAAAATAATATTACACATAGCCCAAAAAAATTTCCTTCTTTTTTAACAACACATTCTCTATCAATCTACTATTCCAAAATACATTCTTAAAAAAGAACGGGGCTCAAACACGTCTTTAATCATTGGAGTACTATATAGTTTGCATAAGTTGATGATTGCTTGATGATGGTAACTTGTATCATTTGGCTATGTTTTTAAATTTGTATATTTAGTTTTCTTTTAATCTTGAATAGTATGTTTGATTTTTCTATATTTTGTTAAAAGTATCATGTTGGTAGCATCTTTAAAATTTTTATTAATAAACATTTTATTTTGACATTTTCAATGTAAAGAATCGGACTGGACCGAACCAAAACTAATTAGTTCGGTTCCATTTCTAAAATTCCCGTTGGTATTTTGTTCGGTTCGATTTGGTTCCCTTTGAAATCGGATCGAACCAGACCGCTCTCACTCGTAATTAAAATATGATTTTAATCCCCATAAAATAGGAACTCATTCTTATACAACTAATTGTAGCATTTGGAATGTGAGATTTCCGAAGGAGCATATGAAAGAAAGAGAAATTTATCGATATAGAACACTCATCTCGATAAAATGATTTGAAAAACGGGGGTTGTTAGAGAATAATACAAGCATCGTGCTACTAAACGAAGCAGAAATTCCTCAAATAGCACTTCTTCCAATCCTAGATGGGGGATCACTTGTGGGAATGACATAATGCGCTCCATTAAAAAACATAGGGAGTCGTCCATGGACTTAAGGAAGGCAAAACTAAAAGTGCCCTTTCGAAATAGGGGCTAGCCGTTCTTTGCTACTGTATCAACATAACCCTTAATTCTATTAATGCATAAGGAAAGGATTATCTGAATCATAGAATTATAATAAAATATACGATCAACCAACATTATATCTTTTTTATCAGAGGTTGAATCAATCATCAGATTTTAATGTTGTATTAATATTATTTTCTTTCAATGTTAAGTTCAAAAAATATTTTTTGTCTTGAAAAATAATATGTGTAGTTGCACTATCAATCAAACAGGTGTCTTGACAATCCATCATGAATCTATCAATATAACAAAATAGATATATTTAAAAAAAAAACTTAAATTTAAATTTAAAATAATAAGCATAATTAATACTGTGAAATTAATGATGTATAATAAAATTCAATTTTTTTGCGAAAAATAAAAATATATTTCGAACTAAATTTTTAAAATAAAGGAAAATACTAGAAATATAAAAAGATAAACTAATCTATATCTTCTATCGCACCACCCCCACTTAAATGGTCAATATTCACATTTAGATCAGCAAAGAAATCGGAATCATCCAAATGAGTCATATCAATTGGACCATCATACTTAGCAAAAATTGTCTCAACTTTTCCCATTTCCTTGATTGATTTTTAGTAAAAATCTACGAGGTATTTTGTTGTACGTCATATACATATCCAATGCTCTTTCATTCCACATCTAAAACAACTTTAGTCGTTTACCTTTTCGGATATGATACTTTCGTTTGTTTTGTACCTTTTAAAATTGTTGTCTTGTTGTTGATACTTTGTTGATTATATTCATCCATGGTTTACTCCGCTTGCATGTTTGCGTCCATATCCACGTCTTTGTCTTGATATTATATTTGCTTCAGGCAATGCAGTATCACTTGCTTCAGGCAATGGTACAGAACCAGTTGGACGTAACACATGATTTTTCATCGGCAATTTATTATTCTGTTCAGCAACAAGTAGGCAAGATATAAGTTCTGATTATTCTTTGAAACCACGCTCGCAATATTTCTACTACAGGAGAACATTTGAGGCGTGAAATGTGGAAAAAAAATTCTCCAACATGCCTTCATCAGTGATTTTTTTCCTCCACACAATGTCAATTTTGCACATATTATAAACAATTCAGAATTGTACTCACTAACAGATTTGAAATATTGCAAACGAAGGTACATCCATTCATAGCGGGCTTTGGAAATGACTATAGTCCTTTGATGATCAGATCTCTCAATTAATTTTTTTCAAAAAATAGGTGGATCTTTTTTAGTAAGATATTCAATTTTCAATCCATCGTGAAGATGATGGCGAAGGAATATAAGTGCTTTTGCGCGATCTTGCAGAGATTTTTTGTTTCCTTATTTTATTGTCTCTTCCAAACCTTTTGAGACAAGATGAATATCAGCATCGAGTACCCATGATAGATAGTTTTTGTCAGAGATGTCAAGTACAACAAATTCAAGTTTCGTGATATTTGCCATTTGATTAACTACACAATAAAGAAAATACAATTAATTTTGAAGAATGTGATTAAACATCATATAATGATTAATCAAGTGGTCGATAACATAAGTTACGTGTTTTCTTTCAGGGATAAACACTAAAATAATATTTTCTTCAAAACATATGCTACTTCAGGAGCACGTTATATTTTATTATTATTTTTTCAAGATCAATACGTCAATATTCTTTCGCAATATTTAAAAATATAATTTATGCTCTTCAGGAGCAAGTAATATTTTTCAAGAATATTAATTATAATATTGTGCTACTTCAGAAGTATCAACAAACTATATATAATAGATAAAATTTAAATTAATATACTTTTAGAATATTAATTATAATATTGTGTTATTTCAGGAGTAATAACATGATAAATTGTTAATTTAAAGTTTATATAAGAATATCTAAAATATTTAATTATCATATAGACATGGTATAAATTTACATACAAGAATTAATCACAAAAAATGTATAAGTAAAGAAAAAAATCTTCCAAATATGCATGTGAAAAGAATATTTAATTACCATGTAAATAGGATATAATGTAAAAATTAATTATCAAATAGATAATATATTAATTTATATTTTAAAATTCATTACCAAACACGTATTAGAAAAAAGAATTTTCATACATAGAACTTAACAAAATTGGCTAAATCACTTATTGACTAAATCTTTTACTAGCATGCAAAAGATACTAAACATACATGTGAATTTCACATATCTAGAAATTAAAGATAAAACTAATATGTAACATATTCAAAAGGCATAATTAATACTGAATAATATGTGGAAAAATGATCGTGTATGAATTAAAAAATGAATTAATATGTGTTCAGATTACATATACAAACATGAATTATAATTAATATACATGCCGATGAAAAGTAAAGAAGAAGAAGCAACCTCGTTATGATGCATATGTATATTGAAATATTTCACATGTTACCAAATTAATTTTAGTATACGTAATAAATATTCATGTCGATAAAAATCATTAACTTTACAAATTTTGAAGAATTAAGTGTTTCTTGCTGATAATGTGTTATTAAAAATCAAAGCCTATATTTATAGGATAGAATTAGAAATACAACGATAATTATTTCTAGGACTGTAGGAATGTAATTGTCACTTACCTCTAAACCCTAATAAACTTTCATTTTACAGCACTATTAAATTTAATTGTTAATTTTAGATCTAATCAAACAATACTGTGCTTTGTTTACTAGGAATTTCTTAAAAAAAAAAAAAAATAATATATATATAATTTTTTTTTTCCTACTTCTAATCAGCCAAGCAAATATTGGATGGCAAATTAGGGCTTGAACGGTTTTCAATTTCATCGGCTTCAACGTTTCAGCGGATCTAACCCGTTTCGGCACATTGGACCGTTCTTCATTGTTGCCAAAGGTTAAAGGTGCGTACTTTCTCTTTTTTCTCACTCCACTTCGCTACCGTGAAATCCCCAAATCACGAGACTAATTTCTGTTAAAATAAAGATTTGCTATTTCAGTTTGAGCTAAAACTGGAGTGTATAATTGTTCAATGATAATCAGATTTTGTGATGCAATTCTGCTATAATTTCCATTCAAAGAGGAGTTTTATTGGTTAAACAATTTGTCGGTCCGAAATTTGGGTTTAAGCTATTAGCCTATTACTCATTTGAAATTCTTAGTTTTGTTCCCGACGGTCTTCCACAAGTTTGGTTCCTGGATGTTCTGATGTGATTTCATATATTATAAGACGGTTTTGCTGACATCGTTACTGCCATTGAGTCGATGAATTATCAAATGAAGATTTTAAGTTTACTTTCTGCTATTCAAATAAACTAGACCATAGCTGATGATTATAAAATTCCTAGCGGAGCTTCAAATCTGCCAAAAAGATAAATAATTGTATAGATCATGATAATGTTGTACACAAGTGGTATCCTTTCTCCAAAAATACATACTGAAGCCATTTCTTATTTGTTGAAATCTAGCTTTTCGCAATGGGAACAAATGGAGAACCGGAACACAATCTGATGATTGGAGAGAACGATGTCCATCTTATGCAAATTGATCCAAGAAGAAGCCGGTTTCCATGCTGCATTGTATGGACACCACTTCCTGTTTTATCTTGGTTTCTTCCTTGTATTGGCCACATTGGGATATGTAGGGAGGACGGAGTTATATTGGATTTTGCTGGGCCGAATTTTGTATGTGTTGACAATTTTTCGTTTGGAGCACCGACCCGCTTTGTTCAAATAAGTAAAGAGAAGGTATGGTTGAGTACTATAACTGCGATTACAGATTATATGTTTCTGCGGATAAAAAAAGAAGCCATCGTTGGCAGTTTTGCACAGGGTGAACAACATTTTCATTGATTGCATAAGAGTGATATTCCATATTTATTTGAATTAATCATTGTCTATCTTTTATTATCATCCCTAATTATTTATTTTCCTAATCCTTGCCTGCAGTGCTTCACTATTGCAAATTCTGCTGTACATGATAGCAATGATGAAATTGAACGAATTGACCTTGGAAGAGATATTGTAACATGGGATGATGCATTACGTAAAAGCACACAGGAATACCAACACCATTCCTACAACATTTTCACTTGCAACTGCCATTCATTCGTAGCCAATGGTTTGAACAGGTTGAAGTTTCAGGCTGGTGGGTGGAATGTGGTAAACTTGGCCGTTTTTATTTTTCTCAAGGGACAATGGGTTAGTAAAGCAGCTATTGTGCGAACTTATTTACCATTTATAATAGTACTTGCCTTAGGACTCACTTTTGGAGGATGGATGTTCCTTACTTACTTGGCAACCTTCTTATTTGTGCTCGTTGGCTGGTTTTTCCTTGGTAGCTACTGTTTCAAAAAGTTTATCAACCTGTAAGCTGTGTAAAATTGTTCTGTAAATGATGCTTTAATTCGAGAATATTGTACCAGTGAATATACTTCAAACATTTAATGATTTCCCATTTATATGTGCTTCTTAGAGGAGTCAATGTGACTGGTGCCTAATTGTGACCTTACTTGTATGTGTTTTAAAGATGCTTTGATTTAATCTGTGACCATTTCAATTAATTCGTATTTATATGCTTTTTTTGGGGCTGTGGTATTGATTGGTTCTAGCTGCACTCTGTTTGTAATATTAATGACTCTTTCATTTAATGAATGATGCAAGTGATTTTACTTCGCAGCAGTTCAATTGTGTGCTTTATAATATGAATTTTTGAGAGGTATAAATGTTGAATAGTGCCTAAAATTGAATCCGCCTGTATGTTGTACATAATTCTGGTTATTTGTTGTGGCCAAATAGGATTCCATGTTGTTCCCTTTGATGCCAGAGAATATAGCATTATTGGTGATTTTATTTTGTTTTATTATTATTATTGTTGTTGTGTTGTTGTTGTTGTTGTCGTCGTCTCGGAGTGTTATAAATAAGCAAGTACTGGGATTATCATCAACAAACAATAACAAACTATAATCCTAATAAATTTGAGGTGAACTGCATAAATCTTCTTTTGCTTCAATTTTCAATCAATTGCTATCAATTGAAATATGCAGTTAGATTCTTTGCAACAACAATAGACCATGCTCTGTTCTTTACTTGTTTCTCTTCTAATTTGTTTTGCGGGGATTAAATCACTCTTGTGAATGTAAGCTTCTATAGGTCTTAACGAGACATGCCCCTAAATCGGTGTTGTCTGCACTGATATTATCTTTTCTCATGTTCTCACTATTCACTACCCTATTTTAACATCCTAATTTGCACTGCGTACATTCATTTTGGACATTTTATCCTTCACTGGTCCAATACTCCTTTTCATCATTTTATCCTCTACTTATTGGATCTTCATATCATATATGATCTGTTTAGCACTTCCATTTCATTATGTAGGCGTCCTTTTCAAAATATCGGTTCTTTGTTAATAATCGAATTTAAAAATTATACCTATAAGAATCACTCTTCGCATTCCTACTATTACTACAAGGACATTCCATGGACTCCATTGTAGTTCTACTGAGCCTTCTAAAGTATTCCTCCAAAGTTCTAATTTACTATTTGACCTCTTCCTAACATCATTTGCTAAAATTATGTTATGATCCATGACTAAAAGTATAAAACAAAAAGAATAAGTATATAATGTAGAGTCTTGATGGCAACCTTACAGGGTTTTCTCTACTATTACTGCCACTACACATTCGTCATCACTTATTAGCTATGTCACATATTTGATATAAAATTTTCATGTTTCTTTAGGCATTTCCATGGGCACCATGTGTAGACGACTTCTAAATCAATAAAAGGTATGTGCAAATCATGTTTGTTTTATCTATACCTATTCGATCTCCTAAACAGACAAGTGACTTTCATGGTAGATCCTTGTGACGCAAAATCCAGCTTTTTATTTGAAACCGATAAATTATACCTTACTTTATGCTCAATTACCATCTCCCGTAATTTCCTACTACGACTCGTGAGCTTATTATCTCAGTGATTTGGTCTTGAATTTCTTCATTAGTTTTATAGATGGACAATTGGACACCGTAATACACTTCTCCTTTTATTTGGCATCTGTTACTCTTTTAAGACCTCATCAAATAAATTTGTGAACCAGAAAATATACACTTTACTTGAACTCCTATACTTGGATAGGATTTCCATCATGACCAATAACTTTGCTTTATCTTCTTCATAGCCTCCCTCACCACTGGCCTCTTGAATGCAAGTTTTGCTTACTTTTCTCCTACGAGTCACATTTACTAGTTTTGAAGATTTTCCTTTTGTACCTGTATTTCAAGTTTCCATCCTAAATCTATTATCATGGACTAAGACCGTCTTCAATCTTACACCAAAATTTGCACTATTTGCATCAAATTTTGCACAAAACTAAAAATCATCTACAATTCATTACATCAAAGGTTGCACCAAATGAACATTATTTAATCATTTTCTTCATTTCTTTTATTCTTAACAATTTATATAGCTTAAAAATTATTTATTATTTGATTTACTACTAAATTAATTATTGCATACATAATTACGGTTTGTTTACGAAAATATTAAATTATGATACGGTGAAGTCGACTTAGTGTCATAATTTAATTATTGAAATTCATATATTCATCCCGTGTTCAATTAATAATAATAATAATTACTTAATTACAAATTAAAATTTATGTATAATGTAAAATGACACAAATACCCTTGATATCACTTGACAATACATGAAAAAAAAGGGCAAAATGGTGCAATATTTTGTGTTGGGTTGGCGTGACATATTTGGTGCAAAATGAAGCTGAAACAGGAGCTAAATTGAAATATCAATAAGCAATAAAAGATTGCTTGGTCGCGGAAATTTTAGCATGCTCTATCTTAGTGGCTAGCACATGAAAACTTTATGAATTAGTTTGCTGGAGCACTTCATTCGAAATCTTTACAAACGGTAAGGCGCAGAGTTCTCAACCATTGCAGAATGTAATTGTAAGTATATTTTTCGAACATTTCTACATAGAATTGATAACATAAAGTCGATTTGAGACAAAATTTGGTAAATCTATATACATTGGGTAAAGAGAATAATCTTCTACTTAAAAAATAATTCAAAACCCAGGGACTTCACAGAAGACTGGGAATCAATAGAAGCTAGAGTATTCCTCATCTTAAGAAAGGGTCTAAGGACAAAATTTCATCCTCCGATGAAAACTCCCACGGTTTTTATAATTGTGTATCGACAAATAAACAAAAATTTCACCAACAGCCCACAATTATACACCAGTATCAGAGAGCAATGACATTTTCGTTGGAAAAGCCCATGCAATGATTTGTTTTCTGCACGATGAACGGAAAAAATAAATAAATAAATAAAAATTAATGTGTTAAACAGAACTATTACAAAATCTGTATATGAGGTTTTCTGTATTCAACTTTGCACCAATATATGAAGATTGAAGTTAAAATGGTTCTCATTCCCATCTTGGGGTGCCGGGCCTAGTCCAAGCTGACCTGTGTGTCTTGCCGGCTCGAGTTCACGTATCTAATTTAAAAAAAAAAAAAAAAAATATAATTTTTGTAAATGTTTTTCAAAAAATAATTCGTCTTCATTATATAAATATTTTATACTTTATAAAAAGTATTACAATATGATATAAATAAAGAAATAAAAAATTATTTTCGTTAAATTATTTATATTTTTTAACACTTTTTATTTTTAAAACTCTATTCTTTATTAAAAAAAGAA